TTTCACTTATTTCGATAAGTTTTAAACATTTTTTTTAATCAAGAAACTAAATAAATTAAAAAGATTTTGCAAAAAAAGAAAAAATTGTAAAATTTGCTTTGAAATACGTTATTTTTTTATGATATTAGGAGCATTTTTCACCTAGAAACTTACTAAATTCCTGAAATCTTGTAAAAGTTCTAAGTTCTGATGATTTTTTAGAAACATAACTGTAGTTACAGCAGAAAATTAATGTATTTTGAAATAATTTATTGAATCGAGTATTCGACCAAAAATTAACTTTTTAATTATTGTTGTTGTAAATTTTTGAACATATTGCACGTTTTTTGGACACTCAGAAACTCAAAAGCCGAATTTTCTCAAATAATAAAAATCGAGAGATAGTTTTATTTGGTTTTTTAAATAATATTTCACTCAACAAGATAAAAAGTCGTTAAAATGGGTCAAAAAGGACATTATTTTGTCCTTTTCTGTGCCTTTTACTATGTTTGTTTTTTTTTTAGTCAGAAACAGAATTATTTTGCAAAATTTCGTTAAAAATAAACTGAAAATTTATCAAGTTTGGCCAAAACTAGTGTTATTTTTGCATTTTTTAGTATGTTTTTAAAATACATGCAAGTTTCTGCTAAAACTGTCTAAAAAAGTATCAAATTAGATTGAAATTGATATCATTTCAGCGTGTTTCGCTCGTTCGTTTCTGAATCATAGACTCATTTATTCTGCAAAAAATTCATAACAAATTCAGAAGGATGACCAATAATTCAGTGTTGCCAATAGATTTTCGGGATTTCGCAAAATTAAAAAAAAAATTAATTTGTTTTGAGCTGGCAACATTGACCGAAGGTACCCGAAGGCGTTTTCATTCGAGTTGTTTATTCCAGAGATACATACAAAACTTTCCTCTCAGCTGACTAAATAATCACATAAAAAATGAGAAATTTTTTGTTTGGAAGGAAAGTTTGCATGCATTCCAGTTGTCTAACTAGTTCCAGTTTCTGGTGGTAATAAATCCCGCACTTGTAGCACTTGACGCATGTTTCTTCCAGTGTTGTGTTCTTAGTGTCTTTTAATACAGTATTGAATATTTAGTGGTTCCAGGGTTCCAAGAAGGTTAAGGCTCAAGGTATAGGAGTCCATTCAGCCGAAGAAATCAACGCTTTTGGTCAAGGAGATCTCAAAGTGCTCTCTGACATGTTAGCAGATAAACCGTTCTTCTTCGGCGATGAACCAACAACTGTACGTTGCTATTGTTCTTGTTGTACAATTTTAACACTATGTTGTAGCTGGATGTAGTCGTATTTGCACAACTAGCCCAAATTTACTTTATTGATAAAGAAGTTAGTTACGCATTGCGCGATTACATGACAGAGTCGTGTCCGAATCTAGTTGGCTTGGTGAATCGTATGAAAGAGAGATGTTTCCCAGATTGGGACGATATTTGCACCACTTTGGATCTAAATTCGCATCTGCCCAAACCAGAAGAGGGGAAGGACAACAAAGAGGGGGGAAAGGACGAGAAAGAAGGAGACCAAGAGAAGGAACCCGACGATAAAGACATAGAAAAAGAAAAGGTATAGTTTTCAGAGGCACTAAAGTAGCTTTTTACCGATTGACAAACATTCGATCATTGCCCCACCATAGAAATTAGTCATATCAAGTGACGATTTTTGGGTTTCAGGCACTAAAGTAGGTTTTTATTGATTGACAAACATTTGATCATTGCCCCGTCATAGAAATTATTCATATCAAATGACAATTTTTGGGTTTCAGGCTCAGTTTTCAGGCACTAAAGTAGCTTTTTTACTGATTGAAAAACACTCGGTCATTGCCCCGCCGTAGAAATAATTGATATCAATTGTCGATTTTTGGGTTTCAGGCTGACGAGAAGGAGAAAGATAAGGGGAAGGAGAAAGAAACGGAGGAGAATAAGGAGAAAGAAACAAAATAAAGAGACTGAGTCTCCAAAGCCCACTGCCGAGGCAAGTATCCCCTTTCCCTCCCCTCACTTAACCCTTTGTCTCTCTTTTTTCATTTATATCTCGACTACGTGCAACCATCTAGTTTTAAGACTTGTAACACTTGAAAATATGAAATTATTCTCTTGTCAACGATTTATTTATGTAGTTTTTTTTATCTATTATAGAGGACAGTTTTATCGATAAAATATATTCATTGCTAGTTAAGAATACTTGTTTGTATAAATTTTGGCTAGGTTTTTTATTGTAAGCAATTGTATGTCTGAAAGACTTTGGGAAGCATGACATGGATTAGGAAGATATGACGACGATGTGGCATGCTTTTTGAAGTCTGTCCATGTTAGTGCAGTCTTAATGTAAGAGTATAACCCAATTAGTAGTGCATTTATTCATTGTATTCATTCCACATTTTAACATTGCATCACGTCAAAATTAACATAGCTTGACTGTAGATTTTTGTATTTTTTTATTGGATCATTTTTAAGATAACAAAAAATTGAAGATTCGACAACTTGTGTGTGAAGCTCAATAGATGGACTAGCATGTTAAAAATATATTTTAGATTTTATTATAAGTTTATTTGAACTTACAACTGTGTTGTATGCTATATTACAATTTAAATAAATAAATTGGTATTTTAAGTTGCTTATTTGAGTTTGATGTGGGAAATTTATTTCTTAAACCCCTTCATTGTCCCAACTATGAATRAACTAAATTGCATTACAGAAGAGCAGAGCACTCTGAAGTGGCTTTATTAGATTAAGAAACAACTAACTAACATAATTGCAATTCTCTTTCATCTTGTTAATGCAGCCGCTTCGTGATATATTTAGAAAGCATTTTTTGATTAAACAGTAAAAACACCTTAACTTAATWAAAGTATTCAAGAGATATGRTGCTTTTTATAAAATATTACGTATCAAATTGCTTAAACGACACAAATTTCGTTGAGGATTTATATTCAATTACAATTTTAAGTAAGACCAAATAATAAAAACGTATCATTTACTTAATTTTTATCTTTCTTTGTTTTTAAATAAATAAATTTTAGTAATTATGTATTGTTATGTCATTTCTCATACAGAAAATACTGTTTTTTATTTAGGTTCTACAACGCTGTTTGGGTGCGTCAACAGCCTAGTGTATTTTGTTTTTTTAATGTTGGTGACGAGCAAATTTTGCAAAACGTATTAATTTACTGAATTTTTGATGGTAAACGAAATAATCGTGATTTATTTCCATATTACGTGCAATGACAAATGTCAGTTTGAGAATTTGCCAACATTGCTATGTGTTACCACGAAAAATTTCCTAAATTTAATTTCTTTTCTTTATTTTTTCGTTCAAAACAGCACAAAATAGAGAAATAAAAAACGAATAGCGTAGCCACGAGTTATTTTAAAGAATAAAAGTTCTAAGATCTTGTGAAACAATTTTTTTATAGTAATTTTTGTAATTTGCTCTTTTTATGTCGTTTTTAAACAAAACAATTTTTTTGGTCGATTTAGGAATTGTGACGTTTCGTGCCTTGGTTGCCTTGTTTTACATTTATTTAGTTTCTTGATTACAAAAATGTTTAAAACTTCTCAATTTTCTGCTTTATTTTGGCAAAATCTAGAATTTATTAAGTTCCTCAGTATAACTCTGTAAACTTATCAAATAATTTTTTGTTTATTCAAAAATGGTGAATTTCAGAAGTAGTTTTGAAATTCTCTACTTTGTTTTGGCAAAATCTCACGAAGAGTTTTTTTGGAAAAACGTTTGACAACTTAATTTCAGACTTAATTTTACAATTTCTCGCCTCATCGTTTTGGAAAAATGTTTCAAATTCATTTAATTTCGCAGGAAAAATACTCTAAATCTTAGAAAATAGTCAAAAATAAGACATTTTCGACTTAATTTTGTAATTTTTAATCTTGTTTTAACGAAATTTCCAAAATTTTATGAGTTTCTCAGTAAAAAACGCGACTAAATTTATATAACAAACTCATTTTGGAGACAATTTTGCAATTTTTACCCTGTTTTGGCAAAATATATTTTGTTTTTTGATAAAAAATACTTTAAACTTATCAACCTGACCTGACGTGATGTAAACAAAAAAAAGGCTTTTTAAAATCTCAGAAATTTAGAATAATTTTCAGCAAAATTTATCAAAATAATTGCAATGACGCATTTCAGAAATAGTTTTAGAATTTTTTTTCTTTCTTTTTATTCTCTGTTATATTCTTTTACTCTACAGGGTGTGTCAGAACTCGCGCCACAGAAAAAAATTTCAAGTAAGATAAGATACCAGAAACATGGAAAAAAATGTTTTGACATTTATTTTTTGACATTTGACATTTTTTTTATATCTAAAGTCCATTTTTTTAAATCTTCAAAGTTAGTGAGTTAATTGAATTATAATAATTGTTCGAGTAAATTATTGTGAAATTAAGTTTTATCTCAAGAAGAGTCGTTTACAAAATGAGTTTCCGAAAGCAAGGATCTGGACCTTAACATAACAGGAACAACAGCTATGATTAGATTTTGTGAATATATGCAGACAAAAATACCAACCACATTCTTCATGAGTTTGACAATTTTGGTTGTGTAAAAATTCCTAAAAAAGAACGCTATCCAATAAATTGCATGACTAATCCAGAATTTTATTATATTCCTCAATATTAATTCAACTTTCTCCAGAATCAGATTCTGAAGACGATTGATGGTCTGAAAATTTTGAATCCGATTCTGAAAATGAGTAAAAATTTAAATCACCCATTAAATAAAATTTTTCCCGGTTAGGAGTTGCATTTTTCCGTGTCCTTACCGTCTTTATTTCTTGTCTTTTGGTAAAAATTGGTAAACTTGCTTCCACTGGAAACTTTTCTGACATTAATCTAGGGAGATTTAAATTTTAAAATTTACTAGCAAAAATTACAAGTCCTAAAAAATTGGACGGCTATAAATGACCAACTTTCAGTCAGATTTTGTTGTGTTGTCAATGCTTTGAAAATGGATAAAGGGGATGAAAACAGGAAAACAAGATTGCGTATTTTAAGTAAAATAAAGATATTTTAGCTCACAAAACAAGAAAAAATTAAAAAGTGGCAGGAAATTTTGCTCTATGCGAAATCCATTACTTCTGTATTTAAACCAATTTCGTTTTCTAATAATAGAGATTTAATTTTAAAATATTCCAAAGCATCAATTAATTTATTTGCGATTAACATTAGATGTGATTATCCCATGACAGCCAAAAAAACTTTAAATATATTATTACAATTTTCTACATATTATTTGTGTGAATTCAGATTTTTTGCAGATTCAAAGATCGAGATTGTTAATTTTAGAAGACGATATGAGAGTAGCATTGTCATTTTTACGACCAAATATGCTCAAATTTCTCATTAAAAGTATTTTTATTTTTAACTTGTAACTAATCCCTTAATAAACGTACAGTTTTTGTAGTACATGTTATTTTATTTTACATGCAAGATTATTATAATAAACTATTTTACGCAGTGTATTATAGGGAAAGAAACAACTTGTTTAAATTTAAATTTAATTTAACATCAAAAAATACCACAACAAGGAGAGAATAGAAAGTGAAGAAGGGAGAATAAAAAGTAAAAAAAAATAAAGAGAATAAAAAATTTTGCAATAAAATTGTGTTCTGTCTATTGAAGGAAACCATTTTACAAAAATTGTCGTTTTTATGGAATAAAGTCTCTCTGAAAACCTCTAAAAATGAAATTTTAACTATCTTAACCTCACTTTTTTAGTGACAAATTTAGTTCCTTAGTGTGTAAAGCCTTTTTCACATTTAAATCGCTGTTTACACAATCATGCCAATTTCAATGAAATGGATTATAGATAGAATTTTTGTTAAAAGTTTTCCATGTTCCTAGTATACATCTTTCCCTGAGGCGCGAGTTCTGGCGCACCATGTATTAAAATTTTGAAAAGTGGAGGCTTCCTTCGCCTCATTGTTTATTTCCCCCATGTCCTCCGAAGTGTCCCGATTCAGTCCCCTCGCTGCATGTCGTTCGACGCACCGCTGGTTCCATGTAGTCGCGTCTGCTGGTGTCTCAAGCGAAGATGGCGGCTTTCCGCTACACTCATGCCGTCGTGTGTCGAATCCCCTTGTCTCTTCGCAGTCGCGCCGAAATCGAACTTGAAGATGCCAAAAAACAGCACGAAACGTATGTGCGACTGTTGCGCGAGCTGGGACTCGACGTCATCGAGCTGCCCCCCGACGAGGCCCTTCCGGAGTGCGTCTTCGTCGAGGACACGGCCGTCGTCTGCAACGGCACGGCGCTCATCACCAGACCTGGGGCGCCACACAGAGCCAAAGAGGTAAGCTAAGAAATTTTACCATTGGGATGGGTTTGTTAGTAATAATTGGGTCACGAGATCGACGCCCAACTTGACTTTTATTGGAATTAACTCGGGGTTCATGGTGGGTCATGGGAGGTGCTGGACGGTTGGTAACATCTGAAGAGAGATTTTCGCGCCAAAATTTCACCAAAAAATTAATTACATTAATGTTTTTTTTATACAGCATGTCCCAAAAATAAAACTTGTGTTTTTTTTTTAATGAAACAGCGTATGTTTTTATTAGTCGATTTCGCTTAGTTTTTTACGAAAACATGCAATTTTTTAGTGTTTTGTATTAAAAAAAAATTTTTAAAAATAAATAGAACACCCTATTTTTTATTTTTGCATGTAAATTGTCTATCTAAAATGTCTAGAATTGATAAATGAAAAGATATTTAACATTCAATATTAATTGGAGCAACAATGATTATCAATATCTGAGCATTGTTAATGATACTATAGCAAGTATAGTAATTCCACCACGGATCACTTTTCCGTTGACAGAAATTCGAATTATTTTTTTGTAAAAATAAAGAATAATGAATTCAGTTTAACACAAATGTGATTATTAAGTGATATTTCTTCCATCTCTTGTGCAAATGTGCACTTTTTGGCTACTGAAACAATATTTTTTTTTTAATTTTTAACGTTAAATATCTTTTTAGTTATTGATTATAAACACCTAAAAGTATATAATTTTAGAAAAACAATTTAATAATCTCTTAAATGCAAAAACAATAAATAGGGTGTTCCATTTAAATTTTTTAAGTTACTAAACTTTTAACAAACGCCTTCATTTTTTTATCTTTGCAAATGCAACACACTAAAAAAATGTTACAACTTTATAGCTTGTACCTTCTTCTTTTCGGTAGTAAAAAAAAATATTTCTAGATGTTTTAGTTTTTGTTATAAATTTTTAAAAAGTGCATGTTTTCGTCAAAAAACCGTCTTATTTTTAAAACGAAGCAAAGTCGACCAATAAAAGTTTAGCTTAAAAACATTGTCATAAAAATCTACATTCGAAAACGCTAAGAAACATATGGTGTCTCATTTAAAAAAAACACAAGTTTGTATTGTAACTTATTTTTGAGACACGCTGTATAGTTGCAAATAATTTTACCATTTAAAAATGGACTTTTTCAACTCGCCGGGACACTCTGTATAAAAATAAAAATAAAATATCCAGTGATGTATCGGAAAATAAGTGGATTTTAATTTTTTTTTTTAAATTAAAAATCTGTTTTCGAAATAGTAAATTCTAAGTAAAGGTTCAAATTTAAAATTTGATTGTTTATTTTATGAAAAAATGAATGAAATTTTTGCCATTTTGTGCTCTTTTGTAAAAGTTCTAATATCTGGTGATTTTTTTCGAAATGAAAAAAAACTGTTGCAACAAAAAATGAATACACTAATTTTTCAAGTATTGATTTAGTAAATTAGGTCAAAAGAAATGAAACTTTTGTATCGTCTTTTTTGAGGATTTTCCACGTTTTTCAACCAGAAACTTTATTATTTGTCTGAATTTTCTCAAAGAAATCGAAAAACAATCCAAAAATTTTACAAAATAGGCCAAAAAACGCGTTGTTTTTGCTTTTTTCGAGTGTTTAAACGAGAAATTTTGTTTAAACAGGTTAAAAAACTACATACAAAATTAAACCGAAATTGACATTATTTTTTATATTGTTGCGCTCTACTTGCTTCGTTTTTGAACTCATTTATTTTGCAAAATCTTATCCAAACACGACAAAAAGATCACAAACAGAATTGATTTTGACGTTATTTTTATTTCACTCGATTTAACTTGTTTTTGAGCAAAATTGAGACAAAAATAAGTCGAGAAACCACAAAATTTGGTTGAAAATGCTCTTAAGCACGTTTTTGTACTAAAATCTTGGGTTTTTCGTGTGATTTCGGCAAAACAAAATAAAAAATCAATTATTTTTGGATTTCTCGAAACTTTTCAACTAGAAACGCAATTATTTTGCAAAATTTTGTTGAAAACAAGCTGAAAAATCTCCGAATTATACTGAAAATAATGTCGCTTTGCATTTTACGAGGTTTTAAGCAGATTTTCAAGCTGAAAACTCATTTTTTTCGGGATTTTGTCATAGTGACTCAAAAATCACTAAATTGTTACAAAAAAGGGTTATATTCTATTTTTACTCAACTTTTAGGCTTTAACTTGGTTATTTCGTCAAATTTTCTCAAAAAAAAATGGAAAAATTGGTTAAAAATAGTTTTATTTGTTTTTTGCGTATAGAAAATGTTCAGATCGATGCAGAATTAAATTCTCTTCAATTTAGTGAAGAAAAAATTGGATCCTTTCATTTGACAAAATTGAGTTATGGGTATTTGAAGTTTCACAATTATAATCTTAAATTTTGTGGGTTTATTAATTATTGTTTCAATTATGAATACACCAAAACAAAGGTCTAACTTTCTTCTTTCATATGCCCAAATGCGATTTCAAAATCATTAAAAATGGCAGAATTATCGATTTTTAAAAAATTTCAAAAAGTCCAAATATTTCGAAAACGGTTCAACTTAAACATGGGGAAGGCTAATAAAAATCCTCTCAAAATCACTCGAGTAATCAAAAAATGCAATTAAAAACAAAGTTTTCTGTTTTAAATAACTCACTTCCAACTTTGTTGGACAGTAAACATGAAAATAAGAATTTTGCCTTGAAAAAAATGATACCTTATTTTAGTTATTTGTGCTAGTTTTATGCAATTATTTATAGCACCGTGAAGTAATAAATTAATGGTTTGACACTTGATAAAATTTAAATTCCTCAAATTCAAGTGTTAAGTTACTTAAATTGAGTTCTAGAAACAAACAAAACAGTATTTTTCTGTTTTTTGATTATTCATTTAGTTGTTGAATTGGATTTGAATGAAAAAATAAATAAATCAAATTCCAGTCTTGTTTTTCCCAATTGTTTAAATTGTGTTTTTTGTTGGATGTCCACAGAATATGAAAGTCTTTCTAATTAGTAATTAAGTCGATAAGGAAGTAATGAATCACCCAGTATATGTCCATCAATGATAGTAGTTTTAGTCTTAATCTGTTTTTAATTAGTTCAATTGAACAATTGAGTGAGTTATCCACGCGGACACTTTCTTTCTCATCTTCTAAACAAGGCTAATAGTTCAGAATTTAATTATGAAGAGATTTTTACTTTTTAAACAAAAAAAGAAATGCCAATATTTAGCCTGAGTTATGTAATTTTAGTTTCTATTTTTATTTGCAATTATTTGAAATGAAATATGCAAATTGTAGTTTTATCGCCGACCTAGTTTCCAACAGAAATGTTTTATGAGTCGTCAACTAAAGCCATCATCTCGTTTGATATTGATTGTCAAGTATTATACTTTGTAGAAAATGCAACACATTGCATCCTAACAAATAGTTCCGCTGATTATTTTTATACTGTTTGTTTGGCATTGAGAACATAACGGAACAATATTGTAACAACAATAATTTCAAACGCAAACAACAAAACTGAGTTTTTATTCTCGTTCTAACTTCAAATTCTAATTGTTTTTGAATTTTGTCAAGTGAAAAATTCTTATGATCTAAACGAATATTTTTTTTCTAAGCATAAAATTTGCAAAATAATTGCGTTTTCAGCCGAAAAAGGTTTTAAAACGCTCGAGAAATGTAGAAATTATACAATTTTCGACTTAATTTGTTGATTTTGTACAAAAACTGTTTAAAAGCATTTTCGACCAAATTTAGCTGCTTTTTTTTATTTTAATTTTAAAAAATATTGCATTTCAGAACTAATTTTGTAATTTTTTTGCCTAGTTGTGGGAAGATTTCAGGAATTTAGTGAGTTTCTCTGTGAAAAACGCTCCTAATATCACGTATTTCAGAGCTAATATTACATTTTTTGCATTGTTTTGCAAAATCTTTTTAATTTATCTAGTTTCTTGATTACAAAAATGTTTAAAATTAAAATTATTAAAAATGACCTAATTTCGTAATTTTCTGCTTTATTTTGGCAAAATCTAGAATTTATTAAGTTCTTCAGTAAAACTTTTTAAATTTATCAAAATAATCAAAGATAGTGAATTTTAGAAATAATTTTGGAATTCCCTACTTAGTTTTGGTAAAATCTCACGAATTTTGGAAGTTTTTTTGGAAAAACTCTTAATAACTGAAGAAATGGCGCATTTCAGACTTAATTTTACAATTTCTTGCCCCATTGTTTTTGGAAAATTTTTCAAATTCATTTAATTTCACAGGAAAAATGCTCTAAGTCTAAATTTAGTAAGTCTATAGGTAAAAAAATGTTCCCAACATCATTTCAGAGCCGATTTTACAATTTTTGCCTTGTTTTGCAAAATCTTTTTATCTTATTTAGTTTCTTGATTAAAAGAATGTATAAAATTTATCGAAATAAGTGAAAACAAGGCTTTTTAGACCTATTTCCCAATTTTCTGAATTATTTTGGCAAAATCTGAAATTTATTAAGTTCCTCAGTAAAACTTTTTAAACTCATCAAAATAATCAAAAATGGTGAATTTCAAAAGTAATTTTGAAATACTTAGTTTTAGTAAAATCTCACGAATTTTGGAAGTTTTTTTGTAAAAACGCTTAATAACTAAAAAATAACGCTTTTCAGACTTATTTTTTGCATCATCGTTTTGGGAAAATTTTTCAAATTCATTTAATTTCGCAGGAAAAATGCTCTAAATCTTAGAAAATAAACAAAAATTAGACATTTTAGAGTTAATTTTATTATTTGTTTCCTTGTTTTAACAAAATTTCCAAAATTTTGTGAGTTTCTCGCTAAAAAGCGCTACTAAATTTACAAGAAACTAATTTTGGAGTCAATTTTGCATTTTTTGCACTGTTTTGGCAAAATCTATTTTTTTTTTTTGGTAAAAAATTCTTGCCTCAGCGTTTTGGGAAATTTTTTTCAAATTACGTAAACAAAAATAAGACATTTTTGACTTCTTTTTGTTATTTTT